ACGTATGCAAACGCGCAGTTCTTATTCATGTCTATAATTCTCTATCTTGCCTATTCATTCGTCCTGGTGTTTTGTCGTGAATACTGAACCGTGGTTCATGAGGCGGAAACTAATTTAAAGGGAGGCCTGAGAGCCTGAGACGCTCGCTGCGACCCTCATCCTCATCCTCATCACCTTTCAATCTGCGCGAAACGGTCCTAGATTCTCGAGACAGCGATAAACTAACGTAATCTAACCTAACCAAACCAACAGTATTAGAGTTGGCTGTGGGCATACGTTGATTCGACGTTCAGACAATGTACGGAATTCTGCAGAAATATGTCCAATACCGACGATGCTTCGTCCATTGATCTCATTAAAATGCATATGATCAATGTCGATGTTCTCGTCTTCGTGCAAAACGATATTTTTATCCATGTCGCTTTACACTTCCAACGAGGGTTGCCAGATCGAGGGACTTCTCCTCTTCCCCTGCTGTCCCCACTACTATTTCTTCCTTTAACTACATATACATGGACTGTTAGTCCGCTGGGAGAATCGTCGCTAACATCAGGTAGCCAACCTCCGCCTTCGGGACCATCACGTGACCAACCAGCGGCAATTTCAAATCACGGTTTACACGTATGGTAGAACAAATCTCGTCGAAGAGTCCGACGAAGACATAAATATTGAAGAGTGTCTACCATTACATAGCAGAGATGAAGAGGGAGATTGCTCATTTTTTCAATTGATCCTTAATGTTGTTGTGTACAAAAGTGTTTAGCAAAAAGAAATACGACTACTGATGGAAGGAAATGTAAAAATTCGAATCATAAGGGACTTTATCGTGCGAAAAAATCGGTTTTCGATTTTTTTAACTATGGCGCATTTCACCGAAAAATCTGGAAAAAATAGAATATAATAGGTGAATTGAGGCACGTCTACCATAAAAATATAAATGATGTAGAATCGTGACAACTTCTATATGAAATCAGAATTTCTTTATGCATTTTTTTCATTTTTTATTTTTCACGACCAAACTACGCAACGAAAAGATCTGGAAAAATTCTCCAATATCGAGTACCGTCCCACGAACATGTGAGAATTTCTTCAGACTTTTTGCTAAACGTTTAATAAGAGAAATATGGCAAAGACGCTAAAACTGATTAACACCCATAAATACACTCCGGATTGAGACAGAGGGTTAAAAATTGGCACAAGACGTTTGCTTTGGACACTCTATCGAATAAGGTTCTCCTATATGCTAAGGTGGACCATCTTCCCGAGTTGGTCGCAAGTTGCAGCACTTTCGAAGCGGTCTCAAGAGAGAACAAATGATACTCGTTAACCCCCCATTGCCCTCCATGTCCATTCAAGTCTATTGTGTAACCATCGTGTAACGAACGTCAGTACATAACTGCAGCTACGTTAGAATTTAGTAAGTAAAGCAATATTGCTAGTAATTTAACAAACACTAGGAAATTGTTAAAATTAGTAGTAAGATATAAAAGGAAGAGAGAGAAATAACGAGTTGACCTTTAGGTCATTAGGACTAGAGAGAAACCGAGGGGCGTATCGCGTCTTATCATTGTCAAGTAATTGTAATGAATAACTAAACTGAGGCTTATAT